GCTGGGCTTTGCTTATCGATGTCAAACTGGAAATCAAATATTAATTGCGAAAGCAACAGTGTTTTAATCGGTTTGGATCACCTAGTATATTACGTTAAATGATCGGTATTCCTTAATACCGTAGCGAGTATACGAGAAGCACCTCGCATTTTGTTTTTGAGATATTCTTTGATCACTTTCTCGCATTGATAGAAATTCTAGCGTCTAACAATACAATAGGCAATTTTTCCTAAATGCGGAGGGAGGCATTGCACCTAATTTGGCAACTATCATGATTAGTATATTCTTGTTAATTCCATGTTCACAACTCGTCATAATCTTCCATCGGCGAAACTTAATTTGTCGCTTTTTGATGCAGTCGTTTCAATCAACGACTTACCCATAGATTCCTTTGAAAGAATAGGAAGAGGAAAATCGGCTTGCAGTAATGCGATGCTTACAGGTTCAAATTTTCCTTTCTGCAAAGACTTTCCGATCAACCAAGTTGAAGCGCAGTCCTAGAGACATTCGCTGGACTGTGCTGTACCGCATAAAGCACAAGAAGGTGAGCTTACTATGAAGTGGACTAGCACTTATGAAAAGGGGTTTTTCTATATCTTGCGTTGAGTTTCGCTGAAATGCTTATTTTAGCAATTATTTGATCCTATGTTTGTAGGGAACTCATGGTGTGGAACATGTTCAAAAGAAGAAGATAAAAAAGGCCACCACCACCCTTAACCGTGCTGTAGCGGGAATGTCTCTTGAAGCAATTCTTGCCAAACGTAACCAGACCTCCGACTTCCGACGCCAACAACGTGAGCAAGCAGCTAAGGCCGCCAAGGAAGCCAACAAAGCAGCCAGAGCAGCTAAAGCCGCCCAAAATAAGGTTAGTAAGAGCTGAAGAACCTGATTTATCTATTCTAATGAGATAAAGCTTGTATCCCAACTTCTGACCGAAGTTTTTCTTGATGCGCATCATTAGAGCTCGAAACATTTTGATAGTGTATCGAGTGTCGAAAATGCGCCAAATCATCGAGTCCTCTTATTCCCATGCGCACTACAGTTCATTTTTGTGAGTTTTTCACATTTTTAACTGCTATGAGCGCGTGGTCGAAGTGGGCCTACATTCATGGTAACTTCCCTTCTAAAAAGCGATACATTGACCCGACCAATCTAAATGGGATGTATATGGCTGAAGAACGTTTGGAGAGACCTTTGATCCGTCTTCCTTATCTACGGAGCAGCGATGAACGAACTTATATGCTTTTCCGGGCTTAGGTGATGGAACTGTAAAATGGACGTTAAATTGTTGGTGAGTAGTAAGTTTACAATCTGTGGAAAAAGATGAAGTGTTTGAATCTTAACGCCACAGAATATTCACGTTTTCGCTAGGAAAATTCTTCTGTCGTTAATGAATCATAAAAATAACATGTACACCATTTGGGAGTGCAAAAATTTCATAATTGTGAACGAAATATTGTGACGCCAATAGGATCTGAACCCTTTGCCACGTGCTTTATAGAAGATTCTTACCGCTACACCAATTATTACTACCATTGGCCTTGAGCGGTTCCATCACATAAACCAGGACGGTTCACAACTTCTGCCAGAAAACTGCTCCACACATGGAAGGCGGACCAGTAGTCTCTTCTCAAACTCTCTCCAGCCATCTTTTATATGATTGGCGTCGACAAAGTATCTCTTTTGTAAGATGCATGTGTTTAATGGAATCATTTTGTAATTATTTCTTGATAGAATATCCTAATATGTATATTTCAAGGAAAAGAAACCTGTGCAGCAGAAGTTGAAGCCACCAAAGCCTGTGAAAGCCGCTGCTCCACGAGTAGGAGGAAAACGTTGAGTTCGATTGTCATGGATTGTTTGTTATTAAATAAAACTGTTATTTACCGGTCTTATAATGTATATATGTAGTGGTTTTCTCTATTCTATTTGATAGTGGCAAAAGTAAAGGTTACATTGAGCTTTTGAGATTACATAAATAGTTACTGAGTTAGAGATTATTTTCATATATTTATGGCTTATTCAGCGAAAAGCGAGATAAAAATTGTTCGCGCACTTGAAAAATTGCGCTTTCCTGGGGTTCTAGCGGCATTTGTATTGTATTACATAGAAGTTGCTTGAAAGACTGGATTAGGAAATAATAAAGGAAACAAAATTGTTATTCCTGTAACAGGATGGTTCTGAAATATAAAAATCTATGGTTTTTGCATCAACATGCAAACTTTGATTGCTTGCACTCTATGTGGTATGTCTGTCTCAGTTCTCTTGAGAAGACTGCTCCAAAAAATGTCCGAGCGATTCACTGTGACTGGCTTTATTGGAAAAGTCTCACTTCTCTTCATTAAATGTTCTTTCAAGTACGAAACCATGTGTGACACAGTGAGGTTTCTTTACACTTGTTTGGCCTAACATTCGATCAATAAGTATGGTAACATTCCACCCTCTGTGTAATGCACGTCCCACTCCCAATTCAACTAACGTTTCAAACGTTCATCTCTCAATGTTTTCAGTCATCTGCAATTGTTCGGAATTGTCTCTTGAAATATTATTGTTTGTTATACCAAATATACTGCTCTCT